TTAGCCACCATCACATTCTTCCGTAAATACTAACAAAAACTTGAATTGACGACAGAATAAACAACAACCGCCAAGATGATGAAGCAGAAACGGTGTTATGAAGAAATGTGGTATTTTTTTTTAATTTAGCGTTCTTCTTATTTTTCTTCAATTTTGAGCTTTTCTGGATTTTTTTTCTTTATTTGAATATGTTTCTTATTCTATTTGTCATGAATCAATAATTTTGTAAATTGTATTTGGTCATGTTTTCTTTCATTTAATTTACAAATTTGGATTCAGTAGAATTCGTATAACTTGGTAGAATTATATAAGTATAACTAAGTAGAATTCAGTACAACTATGTAAGTATTGCTAGTAGAATTCAGTATTATTAGATGAGTATTACTAGTAGAACTCATACAACTACATCAATATTACAAATGAAATTCAGTACTACTAGATGCGTATTACTAGTAGAACTCAATACAACCATATAAGTAATACTAGTAAAACTTACTATAACTAATAAGTATTACTAGTATAACTATGGAGAACTACATAGTAACTCGTTAGATACAATATAACTAGTTGATTAGTTGTACATCCATAATTACAATTTGTACAAAATTTGAAGATTTTGAATTTTTAAAATTTGTAATTAAAAATAATGATTTGAAAATAAACAAGGGTAAAATCGGGTTTCAATGTTTTCATTAAATGATAAAGGGTATTGAGATTAGTGAATGATATAGTGGATTTTCTTTTTTTTGTTCTATAGGACATATGAGATGATGACTCGTGCTTGATTCAAAATTACATAAATAAAAATAATGATACTATTTTGAAGTCTCATGCATATATATATATATATACTAGTGGTTAGTCCGCGCTTCGCGCGGAAAATTAGTTTCAATAAACATTTAGTTATCCTTTATTTTTATGATTTGATTATTGTGTATTAAATGTTATTTATTTTCTTCTTTATTTTGGTTTTATATTTTCCGGTTAAATTTTTTTATGTGTGAACGATAAAGAACATGAAGATGTCTTAATAAGGGACTCACATTTGTATAAAAAGGGTCTAAACTTTGATATCAGTATCATTGTAACTAAGTTAATTGCCCTCTCGTTTTTTTCAATTTACTTACCATCAACAAAAGAAAATACCACAGAAAACATAATAGTCTTTTATGTATTAAAAATTTAAATCAACCTTATAAAGTACGAAAACACACAACATGCTTGTGGAAAATATGCAAAAACAGAGAACTCAAAAGTAGTTTGGATAAAGTAAAGATAAATCACTTTGTCCTTTTCGAAGAAAGCTATTGTTGCTCTTTCAGGGCAACCCAAGGTACTTGCCAAGTTTCTCATTTGAGAAAATACCACAATAAATGAAAAATGATGTGATTTAGTCATCCAATGTGATTTTATTACGGCTCCCAATTGCATCAATAACTCAGAAGCAGAGTCTTGAAGATCTACCAAACTCCTTCCTATCTTCAATGGTGCATTCTCTGATAGTAAAGAACTTTAGTATTTGCAACAACAACAACATAACTGAGAAACGATTCATTCAACAGGGGTTTACGAAAACATTCTCCCAATCAAATTAATGATAGGAAACTTTTTCATTCATTTTATCTATATCGAGTCTGTTGCATCGAAAAGACCTTTGTGACAGTGTTCTTTTCCGCAAAACATTGTGGGATCAGTTTTTGATGAAGGATATTTGTAGATCTAGTAACAAATATCAAGGCAAAAGAAAGAGAAAGACTATTAAGAAAAGAAGAAAACCTGCAAAAGAAGAAACACTTAGTTAATATCAAGGTAAAGAGAAAGAAGAGAAGTAGAATGACAAATTGATAAGAAAGAGGTGGAAAATCTGAACACAAATATTGCAACTTATAAAAGTCATGAGAACCATTTCACGACCTTACTTCATCTCAACCTTATAAACCTATTCACGATGTGTTTTATTTTCTTGCATCTACAGGTTCTTAAAAATCACTAACTGACTCTGCTATCCATAGCAAGTACTACACTTAAGACATGTGACTAATTCCCAGTTCCCTGCTTTAGGGGTTGAGTGTTTCCTGCAAACCATTGTGTATTTTTTGATTAAGTTAGGAAAAATGAAGATGTAAAAGTAAAATGGTTGCTCGTGTTTGCATATGTTTAAAACATGTGCTTTTTATAATGTCCGCCTGTTCATCATTCTATAGCATTGCAGATTTCATGGCTATCTTATATGCGGATATAGTTGGTTAATATAAGCTTACGTGGATATGCCGCCTCTCTTAAAGGCCCGAATTTGCACTCGTCTGGCTCGGTGTAGATGCGTTATTGCTGTAAATTTAATCATTGTTGTAATCGAATATGAACAGAGTTAGTAAAGATTCATAAATAGTGTGTAACTGTTTTGTGTTACAAAAGAAAAAAAAGGTGTGAAACTGTTCTTACCATTTTTAGAAGGAGATTCTAAATTGTGTGCCACAGCGGGGCCTTCAGTCTTGGGCAACAACACATATCAATGCTGGGGGCATGCTATTTGAATAAACACCTGGGCAGAAAGGCAAGACTTTGATTTATTTTTGTTCATTATATGTAGTTTCAGAACGAAAGTTAGGTTGATGTGCGAGTTTAGATTTTAAAGAGATTGCAGAGACTTGAAATTTCTATGTATTGATAGAGAGAGATCACGTTCTCATATATACAACTCTGACTCCCGAAATATAATATCTAAGCTAGAGTAAGACTTGGTTACGAAACTAAAGAACCTAGATTACAGGAACTATGAAAACAATACGAAGCATATTCTTATCCTTCTTATCCATGTTTGGTTAGTGTAACCGGTAGATAACCAAACTCCGATAGAGTTAGGGAATTGTACCTTGTGTAGAGTTTAAGACTATTCCGAGAAGTTGTCATCTTCAGAAACGTAGATTAAGCGAAGACATGAGCAAATTTTTTTGGATGGAAGTCGAGGGTTTTGAGGGGACTCTCAGTATGTGTATATATACAACGCAGGAGGAATTAAAGAAGCAATGAAGAGGAGGTCTGGGGGATTAGTGGGTTAACATAATTGAATGTCATTACTACTGAGCGTTACACGTCGCCGGAGAAGTTGAATTGGAAGCATTTGATCTAAGGGTTTGTAAACTTTGATGAAAGGATAAGGTGAAAAAGGACCGCTGTATAAGCCCAAACAAAAGTCTTGGCATAAATGGTGATAGAGCCCATAATGGCTCATAGAAGGTTTTTGAACAAAAAAATTGTTTCGTTAAAGTAGTTTTAAGTATGCTGATGTGGAATATTTTGCCCCTATCTCCCTGCTGATGTGGCACAAGGAGAAGGGAGAAAACTTAATTTTATTATATAAGATATATATATATATATATATATATATATATATATATAATTTACAAAAGAACTAGATTGTAACAATTGATTAATAGTGTATATTACTATATTAATATCTATTGAGGCATCCTATAATTAATATTTATAAAATAAATAAATTATTATTATAAAGTTTTATGTTTTTGTTGTAGTTAGATCATTGGTTTGGATATAAGTTGAAGTAGTCCAGTTACTCATTTTGATTCTTTCAAATGTAAAAGAAATGAAAAATTATTTTTTATTCTAGTTAAGTCAAAATCAAATTAGTTTTATTTATCGCTTACATGTGTAAGTATTTCATTATATTTTTAATAGTTTGACATATGTTGATTTTTAAAAATATAAATAATAAAGCGATGATCAATAATAAGTTACATACATAAATATAAGTATAAGATATAAAGTTTTGAAATTCATGAATGCATATTTATATTTTACAATAATAAAAATATTTTAATAATTTTATGTATTATATTTATTGAGAGTTAAAATAAAAATTATCTTATGGGTACTTTGATTAGCTTGGGTATTTTGATTATGGGTACGTTAAGTTACACAAAACACAAACATATAAAAAAACATAAAATTAAAAAGTAACCGAAATATTAAAAAAAAGAATTTTTTTAATAATGATAAATGTAATATTTTACCTCATGGTAGAGCTTTGAGGAAGTTCTAGTTTGATTAGAAAAAAATGAACAAAATGGGATAACAAAGTAGAAACTGGAATACATAATTTTTGACCCACGCTTAAAAAGCGCGGGTATCATTTTTGTTGTTTTATCTACAAAATCTTTTGCTTTGATAATATAAAATGCCACTATCTAATATAACCTTAAGAGATTAATGCAGATTTTAATTTATTGTTATCATCAATATCTATGTAAATGTATTGTATGTAATTATATTTTTGAAAAAATAATATCAATTAACTACGTTTGGTGCTGAGAAGTGGGTCAAACTCGCCCTACCCGACCCGTTTGACCCGCAAAAAAAAATATTATCTGCATCTACCCCATTTAGTTTTGCAGGTAATCTAAGAGACCCGCGGATAATTAATAAATAATAAAAATAATTATTTTTAATTTTATTTTCGACAAAATACTATTAAATAGTATATTTTTAATTAAATTTTTAATATTTTTTAAAAAATAATTATTTTTAACGAAATTTACTATATTGTTGAAAAATAAACTTAAAAAAGAAAATTATATTTTTGCGGATTACCGGGTACCCGTAATTGAAATTAGAACAACCTGTACCTCCGCGTAAAATACACTTGATCTGCATCTGCAACTTAAATTTTTCAAAACGATCGACCTGTTCTGTGGCGGATCAACCCGCAGAGTAATATCAAAATTTCCAACTCTAACTATGCCAATTAAGGCTGGTGTGTTTATTTTTGAAAGAAAATTCATAAATAATTTGAAGGTGAATTTTTGAAGAAATTCATAAACTCATTATTATATTGTTTTTAGTCCTAAAAACCAAAAGAATATATTGCTATTCATGCAATTTTGTTCATATCATTAAGAGGTAATTTTGGAAAATGTAAAAACTCATTAAAAGGGGAATGATATTGATAGAAGGGAAAACAGAGTACAAACAGAAGACATTGTTCAGAGGATACTGCAATGACCCCCACGTAATGGCTTCATAGGTATTGACACTGATACGGTTGGCATACCGTTAGGTAGGAAGCCCACTGTAGCGCTTAGCGCAGATGGCATATTGTCCTGCTCCTCCAAGGCAATTTTCAGCTTCATCTCCATCTTATCAATAGATCAAGAGATTAATAATTGGACTACAAATAGCAATTAACAACTATTCATCTAGATAATTAATTGTTTTTTCTTACCGTGCTTGACATCTGGTCCATTTTCTCTTGATACGACGCTTGTAACTTATCTTTCATCAGCGACACCAATTCTGCTGGATGGTTTTTCGATTCCAGTTCCTCATGCTTCTTAAGTAATTTTTGTTGCTCTGCCTGAGATAGCTCACATGTAGAAATACGTATACAAATATTCTCTGAGGCAATTATTTTAGTGCAAGAGATGAAGATGCCATAATATAAAGTTTACCTTTATCTCATGGTACATGTCGTCGGTATACGCCTCTCCGTGGTGGGTTTTTCGAATTTTTTCTACTAGGGAGAGAAGTTTATGGACTTGCTCTGCCTTCTTGCGTTCATCATAAGTCCTGTTGTCAAACAGAACCATTCGGTTGCTGGACAGTTTGATAACTTCCTGTAATTCACAAGTTCGCATAAATGAGAATCTTAACCCTTTGTTTTCAAGCATCATATATGTTCAATGCACTGACCCTTATGAAGGCAGGGCAATCTCTACCCAAATACTCTTCGAGTGTTTCCTTGTTTTCTTCCAGCACATCACCCCCGGTGAAAACGACAATAACATAAGCAAGGATTTGACTTCCAAATAAAGCCTGCAGTGTACTAAGTGTGCTCTCTTCCTCTTGAGTCATTCGAGTCCTCGCCGATAAAACTAGGATTACAGAATGTATTCCTCCTTCCGCTAGAGTGAGGCATCTAACGATTTCTTTACTTATAAACTCAGCAGACAACGCTATGTCAAACAGACCTATCGCAGACCATCGACATTAAACAAGCAATACATACAATTAACAAAATAAAACTGCTAAATCAATCTAAGTTACTAACTATGTACCTGGAGTATCAATCACATTGATTCTGTGACCATCTTTTGTCACAGCTTCATGTGTCTGGCATTTCATGGTAACACCAGATGCATGTGCTTTGGACACGAAAACTCTTTTTCCAATAAGGCTATTTCCGGTGGCACTTTTTCCATTCCCTGTACGACCTACTAAAACTATGTTTTGGACTTTCTTTAAAGAATGACCTTCCTGTTCAGCTCCACCCTTGTTCATCTTCACAAATTTGACACCCTTTTGTTTGATATATAACTATAAATATTAGCTAATCCATGTAAAAGCTTACAAAAGAACCAAAAGAAAAACATCTTAAAAACATTACTCATGCTTTTCCATAAATAAGACTGAAAAACAGAGGATAATATATTAGGATGAGGACGGAACTCACTTTGAATGCAGAACGTCAGAGTCGAAGACGATGAACAACGAAGATATTTTGCAAGTAAACCATCGTAGCAAGTCGAGTTTAAATAGATCAATAACCTAATAATTAATCAACTAACCAAAAATATTTTACTACTATATTCACAATATATTCCTCATTATAGTTTACCATTTCAAACAATAGAAACTAAGAAAAAACTACTTATAGCGTGAAAACAGTTGTTTTAGTATAAAACTAAAGAAAAAACTTTAGTTTATTTAACATAAAGAAAGACTTCTTAGTTGACAAAAAAAAAAGACTTCAGAAAATAATTTAAACTAATAAGGAGCATGAGATAATAACATTGTTCTAATTTGTGACCAATAAACTTACAGAAAACACATATAGTTTTGATGTCAAAAAAGTAAATGTTCTTACTCGGTCTAAATATGAGTTCTTATTATAATGTTATATATCTTACATCTAAGTATGTTTCATTTTTTTTTTAAATACAATAAAATACATCATATATAGAGACTACTTATAATACAACATATAAAATTGATAGGAAAGTTTGAATAAAATATCATACTAGTATTCGACGTGAAGGAAATACTTCGTATAGTACATAATTTTCCTAAGTTATAATGCATTTTAAAGGGTTTTTTTTTCAAAAAATGACTCAAAATCGTAGCAAAAAAATGACTCGAGATTCCTAACCAAAAACAAAACTATCTCTTTTTGGTCAATACTATTTAGCCATGAAGTTTCCATACCTTCTTTAGTTTTTTAAAATATTTAAAAATTGTTAGTATAATTTCTTTTTTTAATTTTGAAAATGGCAAAAAGCCTAAAACATCCTAAAAATTCTTTTTATTTACAACAATGTCAATATCATCAATTTTTTCAACTAACGTGAACAACCATTTTTGAGCTTTTATAGCTCAAGAATTATAGCTCAAGAATTCGGTTTCTATGTATTTTTTTCTCATTTTACACCAACAAATCTGCATTTCCACTCATTTTTTTCACTTTCATCTAAAAATTCTCATAACTTTTATTTATATAAACACAAGCTTCATTTTTCATTGACTTTTTAGTAAATAATAGTCAAATCTAATTTTTCTCATATTTGAAGTTTTGACGGTTGAAGAGGTTGAAAACAAACTTTACACCAGAAAAAAATAATTTTTACATAGTTTTGTCATTATTCAGATCTGTGTCGCGATAGTAGACTATTTTGTATGTCTATGCATATTTGTAGACTTATGACGCGGTATACTTGTCAACGCACATGTTAGTATTGCAATTGACAAAAGTTATATTTTTTTTTGCAACGCAGACTTCCCTAGAGGCTATTTTTTTTGCATTTCCCGAACTTTTGACTTCCATTTAAATCTACTTGTAGAAATTAAAAATTGGTCAATTGCAAAACTAACCTCTGTAAAAAAAATTAAAAATGTAGACTGAAAATGAAGTCTATTTTTGAAGGTCAAATACATGGTGAATTTGGGTCAACTACAAAACTAACATTTTTGCAAAATATACAAGTCACAACTTTTATTACAAATACAGAAAATAACCCGTTAATTTTGCAATTAACTAACCCCAATTAGTAGACATATATGACAGTCTACGTATGTAGACTGCAAAACAAGTCTACAATTTTGCAGACTAAATGTGGAGTATATGTAGAAAATTCTATTAATAATGGATTTGTGTATTATTCATTAAGGTTTTCTTGATTCATTGCTTGACAGTGTGTGTTAGTTAATCCTAATGATCTTGAATGATCTTCAAAAGATAATTTGTTATGATTATGAAACTATCAAATTTTTGGTTTGTGCTATGTTGTTAGCTAATAAGTGTATAATAGATTTTGACCCGCCCTCTGAAAGAGTTGATATATATTTTGGTTTTACATTTTTCTGGAAATTTATTTTCATATTTGTATTTTTTGTAATCATATTTGTGTAAAGTATTCTATTTAACTATATACTTGCGCTATAGATATTTCACATATTATTTTTGTATATTATTTCTAGAAAACAAAATCTAAGTTTGAGCTGTCTTAACTTTTTTACTCGAAATAAAATCAAGGCCTATATTAAATACTGAGAATATAAATTAGATAGGAGTCAAATTTTTAGGTAACAAATAGGAGTAACAAAATAATGTAAATTTTTGTTTTCAATTTATGTTTTTTGTAATCATGCATATTTATGTTTAATATTAATTTATGTGTCTAGAAATTATGTCTGGAAAATTATGTGTTTCATATACAGAAAAATAGAAAAAATAACTGCTTATTTTAAATAATTAAATTTCAATATTAATTATTAATATTATGAACCGTTTTTTCATATTGACCTGAGATCCAGAAAATATTTCGATTAATTTTCTGGTATGGTTTTTAAAACATTGTTTATAACTGTAATCCTCTATACTTTACTCATAGATATAAAAAGTACATTTTATGGAATTTTACAACATACAGAAATTGTTCCCCAAAAATATTTTGAAGTTATAGTTATATGATTACAAATCTGAAATGCGGACTTCAAATTTGTATTTGGAAACATATATTGTGAAAAATAGTTTTAATATTATAATTATTAATAACAGTCAATAGCAGGTTTTGTATATTTGCATATATATTAGAACCTCTGGATCATATATCTTATGTATCATAAACTTTAGATTATACTCCAAAAGCTTAATAGTTTTTGAACTGAAAAATGTTAATAAAATACTGCAAAACATTAATAAAAAACTATTAAAATGATTACAATGACGACATGGTTATACTAATCTTGTTTCCAAAACCTGCATATAAAAAATATTTTAAAAGGCTTTAAGTAAAAAAATATGGTGCATGTATATATATATTGTAAGACTGGTGTATAATGTTTTTCCCAGATGAATAGTTTTTTTTTTGTCATTAAAAGCTTTAATTAAAACTTAAACCGGTCCTCTTGTACTAGCTTCAGAAACTAGCGAAAAAGGGACCTTAATGTCTACAGATGCATAATACGAATCTCGTGAACGGGCCTCTTTTGAGAGTCCACACAGACGTTTAAAGAGCGAGAAATAAAGCTCAGCGAGAAAGAATTGAAAGATTTTCTAAGTGCATTGATGGCATCAAGTTCTGGATCAAGAGCTGGCCAAGGCTTCGAAGCATTAATGATTTGTACGAGCTGTTGGCAATCTGATTCAAAGCACACCTGCTTATATCCGCGTCCACTAAGCTCCTCCATGGCCCAGATCAGGCACTCCGCTTCAGCGTGAAGTGGTGAAGCAACAATGGTTTGTTTCCTGTGACCCCGCATTACCTCCAAGTCGTCTTTAAAGAAGATGAAGCCCAAACCAAATCCAGTATCTTGTACCTCCCAGGACGCGTCAAGCAGACATCTCCATCATCCCCTTGTCCCTTGTTCCTCCCCCTGGCTATCCTCTCTTCCCCCGCTTCCCCTTCCTGTATTATGTCCGGCAGAATTTGTGCTATTGTCCAAGCTCTAGCTTCAGACCCCGCAAGTTGCAGGGTATCCAAAGGGGTCGTATCCTTATTGTTGAAACATTTGTCGTTTCGCGCTTTCCATAGGTACCATATCATCTATGGGAACATCGACGTACTCTCTGCAAGAATGGGATCTTTTTGCAACTGTAGGAGTTTATCGAAATTAACATATATGGAGGAGCTCGGCAAAATCCCCGGAGACATCGGTACTGTCGATAAGGCCCAACATTGGACTGCAGGCGGGCATGCTCTGCACCACACCGTTGACAGACCGAGTCATTTTCACAATGTCTCTCTTTTAGTTTACTCGCTGCAGCAACATACCCCGACAAAGCCTGCCACAAGAAGTGTTTGATCTTCCGCGGGGCTTTCAATTTCCAAACCTCTCTTTTTAAGTCATTACAGCTTTGTCCGAAGGTTGACTCCCGCACAGCTTCTTTCTTTGCTCGACTGCGATGTCATACCCAGACTTCACGGTATAACATCCCGACTTCGTGTGCTTCCAGCTGTAGCTATCTTTGCGTCTCATTCTACTGATCCTTAGTGCTAAGATACGAGGCACATCTTCAGCCGCAATAACATCGTTTATAAAATCAGTATTCCATTCTTTTCTGTCAAAATCAATAAGATGGTGAACTTTCAGCTCTGTATCGACGATCGCTGTCCTTGGTTTTGCCGCTCGAGCAGGTTCCGTAGGGATCCATGCATCTTCCCAGACTTTCGTGTCTGCCCCTGTTCCAATGTTCCTTCTTTTTCCATCAACAAGGATCGTCTTTGCTGCCATCAGACTGTTCCACCCAAAAGATGGGGAGTTTGCTTTCCCTGTTACGAGAGGATTCGAGCGTCTATAGTATCTACCTTTTAGAACTCTTGCTAGCAGAGATTGAGGGTTTGTTAGTAGACGCCACACTTGTTTAGCAAGTAAGGCCAGATTAAAATCTCGAAAATCACGGAAACCCCAAGCCTCCTTCTTCTACTGGTACACAAATTTTTCCCCAAGCCACCCAATGCATACCTCGGTTATTATTACTTGTACTCCACCAGAAACGTCGCCACTGCGGCGGAAAGTTTGTTACATATATCTAGTGGTATCAAATAGCAGGACATCACATACGTCGGTACTGCCTGGGCTACTGATTTAATCTGTACCTCTTTTCCACCCTTTGATAGAAGTTTACCTGACCAAGAATTAATTCTGCCATTCAGTCTCTCTTGTACGAAGGAAAAAACTTGTTCCTTCGATCCACAGATCTTCTCCGGCATACCCAAGTACAACCCCATCCCTTCCTCTTTGTTAATACCAAGTGATCTTTTCAGATCGATTTTTTGTGGATG